GGCAGCCTCTATTGGGACTGACATCAATGGGATGGCAGTTAAGGTTACACATATCTCCCCCTTCTTTCTTGTTAAGTGATGCATGACGTTGTCTTTTTATGTCTTTCTGGGACAAGGACTGCAAATTACATTACATTATATTTAACTAGGCTGGTTGTACCTTGGGACAAAGTTGTTGACAACTATAAAGGTATTGGATGGGGATGGGAAGAGTAAGAAAGTGGAAGATGAGGAATGCATCGGAAAAATTTCCATTTTCTGGCTTTTTAAAATTACACAACTCTTGTAAATTACAAAACTCTAGGAAATATTTTGAAATAATTTCCACTGTGTTCAGAATGCGCTCTGTGATGGTACTTAATTGGGAACCCCTTACCAAACTGGAAGGAAATGGGCTACCCTTGCCAAATGAATATAAGTTTTTACTTTTCATTCACTAAATAATTTACAAAGGCAAAACACAGATTAGATAGGTGTCATTAAAACAAATAAAGCATTCTGTTCTGAACGCCAGCTGGTGTCAACAGGATCACTAAAAGGCTCAACATTTGGGTATCCTGGCCTGCTGTACTGGAATAGCTTATTTGCCAGTTGGCAGATCTGGTTGGGAAGTATTTTTCTCCCTCTCTTCGTGTGGCCAAAGAAAAAGTCATAGGATTCTGACGTTGCACCTATGGGTATTGCTTATACAGTGCAAGTCTGTATGATTATGTCTTCTCATCCCTTTTGTGGTGAAATAGACTTGCATCTAATAGTCACAGCTGATCATCCACAGGTGCATGCCATTTTTTTCTGCATATGTTGGAAATCCATTGTGTCTGGTCGTATGCACTGCCAAGGTATCCTCATCCTTGCCAGGTGTGTTCTTTTGCCCACCATATTACATGGGTCCAGTGCAGTTTGCATTGTATACCATTGGATCAATGAAACCAAGGCCCACAGAATCCCATGTAACTAAAATTGCTTCAGTTGTTGTGATAGTGGTGTAGTGAAGCTGGTACTAGGAAGGCCAGTTGCTACTATTGCCCTAATACCTGTTCTAAGCATGATGAGAGGCCCTGGACATGCCCTTTGCTTAAAGCAAAATAATTTCCTCTCTGTCTTTTGCAATGCTAATTTTTCATTCTTAGAATGCCTGTGAGACTCTTATGAAAAGACTTAAGCCTGTAATGAAAAAAAATCCTGAAGGCACGAGGAAAGACTGGGTAATCCTTTGGTGTCTGCTGCAAAAATACACAATTAATACCCTATCAGATAATAGACTATAGTGGCCTTCTTACCTTTCTTGAAACCAAAACTGCAACCACCACTTTAGATTGGTCTCAAGGCACACAGTGAATTCCACTGAAATCAGCAAGAACTGCAGACTGCAGATTGTGTGTAGAATGCTTTTCACTATTGCCACTTATTTGTGGCCTTTTTTAAAAAACTGAAAATATAATTTTATTACAATTGTGTGGAGCCCGAACCTCGGGTCAAGAAGTGTTGTTGGGAGTGTCGTCCTGCCCCAAGGCGAATGTAGTCACGCAAACGGCTGGCTGGGTGATTTTTGGAACTGAAGTCCCAAAAAGGGGAATATCTCCAAGTGCTAGTTTGAGTTGTGCAGCCTTGATCCTATTGGCTTGGATTATTTGGGAAACCAGCAGAAATTAAAAGACGCCTTCTTCTTGGGAGGAAAGCGATGACAAACCTAGACAGCATCTTAAAAAACAGAAATATTACCTTGCCAACAAAAGTCCGAATAGTGAAAGCTATGGTTTTTCCTGTGGTGATGTATGGAAGTGAGAGCTGGACCATAAAGAAAGCTGACTGCCGAAGAATTGATGCTTTTGCATTGAGGTGCTGGAGGAGGCTCTTGAGACTTGAGAGTCCCGTGGACTGCAAGGAGAACAAACCTATCAATTCTAAAGGAAATCAACCCTGAGTGCTCACTGGAAGGACAGATCCTGAAGCTGAGGCTCCAATACTTTGGCCATCTCATGAGAAGAGAAGACTCCCTGGAAAAGACCCTGATGTTGGGAAAGTGTGAAGGCAAGAGGAGAAGGGGATGACAGAGGATGAGATGGTTGGACAGTGTCATCGAAGCAACCAACATGAATTTGACCCAACTCCGGGAGGCAGTGGAAGACAGGATGGCCTGGCGTGTTCTGGTCCATGGGTCACGAAGAGTCGGACACGACTAAACGACTAAACAACAACAACATATATCTTCCACCAGGAAATAAGTATGCACATAGGACAGTAAGCATAGCCGAGTAAGCTTAATGTTCAGTCAACCTATTCTCTGGGAAGAAAGTCCAGAGGAAAATTTCAGTAGCTGGAGTTGGACCTCTGGAAAAGGTTCCCGCTCCTCCATCCCACAACTACAGGCGTCTGGTGAAATTTCCTCTTCACATGCCTGCCTTCCTTCCTTCCTTCCTTCCTTCCTTCCTTCCTTCCTTCCTTCCTTCCTTCCTTCC